CAGTCTCAATGAGATATATATCTAGTTGTTCTTACGTGCACATATAGATATCAATAGACCGTGGAAATACAGGCTTGAATAACATGGCATAATTATAATTTTGATTATCGGCAGAGACTTACATTAAATATATATAGACGGCCATCGAAATGCAGCATTGTTTGTTGCAGGCCCGATGCAAGGGACGCATTCTCTCCCGAATCTATGATACGAGGTACTCACTCAACTGCATTTCAATTTTCATATAAAAGAAATACTTTTATTGTAACCTAATAATGGGTCAGATGCAACATAGGTGAACTATTTCAGTAGAAAAATTGAAAATAAATATTATGTATCTAAATACAAAAAAAAGAAGAATAAGTCATTCTATGTTAAATAAATCAACAATGTTTTGCGGCAATTTTTAACATCAAATTGAGATTTTCCTTGCTAAAAAGTTGAATAATTTTAAGACATTCAACGTTATAGATACAAAATAATCAGTTTTATATATATATATATATGTATATATATATATATATATATTGAACAATAAAAAAAATATTAAAAATTTAAAATCTTCGGACACACTGTGTTGTATATTAATATTCTTTCGTTTTTATTATTATTTCATTTAGATTCCTCAACTAGTTTCGGCCAACATGGTCATCATCAGGAGAAAAAAAATTCTGTTTGCTTTTAGCAGTGAACTACAGAAATGAATGCCTTGATGTAGAAAATGAACTTTTGTCTGTAGTTTTCATTTGTTTTTTTTATTTTTTTTTAATTTCTTGAGCCTTAAAATTATGATGTACTAAATTTCTTGAAGAATAGATAGACGAAAAGAAAACGAAAATGGAATATGAAATGAAACAAACTGCAGAAGAGTTGGCCTCTATTTAACAAATTAACAGGTTCATATAACATTTAGATTAAAAAAAAATGACGAACAAATAAATTCGGAACGGATGATTGAAAACTAAACAAGAAGAAGACGGAGACAAAAGTAGAAAATTTTAATAACGACGCGTTTCGCCAGAGAGCGTATGTTCTCTTTGGTTCATGGGGTTAGAATGAAAGAAACACAAAACTGTGTGCAATGTCTTGGCATCTCTGGGGATAAGTGGGAATCATAAATCAAATTAAATTGCCTTGGATTATCACCTCCCAAAAGTCCATACGCCAGATAGTGTCTGTCTGCCTTGTTTAAAAAGGTTTAAATTCATTTTTTCATTACCCGTTACCTATTGATTAAATACCAGCGTAGCTCGGGTTTTCTAGCCTTGGTTGGCAATCAGTCTAGGAGAAGCATAACTCAAACCCGGTTGATCATGGGTCTGTCTGCCAACCTGAAAGATCTATTTGCTACGTAAACCACATCAGAACATTATCACTATATGAGAAAGACGCGTCTCTCTTATGTCCTTTTACCAGTGAGGTAATACTCATCTATACGTTTCCGTAATCCTGGTAGGTGTTTGAGATCAAGGATATCCAGGGCTAAAAATACAGTTTTTTGGGGTTTTTTTTTTTTTTAATTTTTGGCTGGAGGTAGCATGTTTTCCCCACATGGAAATTTGACACAAAAAAATTCTCCATCGTTGCTTCTAAATGATGCAACACTTACCGTTATCAATTTTACAATTTGCAATTTCCATAAATTAAGGCTAATGAATATATCATCTTCTGAAACTGCTTCAAATAAAAATAAACACAAACGATACAAAATGAGGTGATGTTGGTTACTCACACTGCAGCCATAAACCCTGAAAATCTATAAACCTCAAACCCCCGTCGGCTTCCACGACCCCCGTCTAATCAAATCCTAAGGCCCCCATACCTGAACCCCTCTTTCTACGTAAACATAACAAGCCTTTTCGCCGACCATACTAATTTATTTTGCTGACTTCCCCATCGTAATGCTATCAAGGCGAGACTGAACATGTTGAAGATATTTATTCAGGTTTTATAGTATTTTTAGTACTAACATGCATGTCGAAGAATTCTATATATGTAGACCTGGGAAATATATATGTATAAGTAATTTTTGTGGGTTTCCTTATTGTCACAGAGTGTGGGGCACTAAACGCCAAATACAAAGTATTTAGCATTTTTATCACAGAAATTCACACTGGAACGATTAAGTCGGGTTTGTTATATTCAATTATGTGTAAATATTCTTGGGAAAGGGATGAATCCACCAGCTATGGGTTAAATAGCAGGAATTATGCCTTGAAAATTCATTGTTATTATTTTTTTTTTAAAATAATGGAATATTCACTCGCGAAAAAAAATTCTTACAATTCAAAAAATATTTCAGCTTTAAATAACACGGCAGGTTGATAAGCCGTGAAAAAGAAATCAATCAATATAAAACTCCAAACTACCGCCAGTCCCAATGAACAGATGCCCCCTCGAGAAGGCGCCGTGTTACGAAAGGATATTGGGCGTTGAACTCACGCGCGACCTCAAATGGAACTCTGTTTTACGATCCATCACTAAAGATGAAGATAAAATGATCGGCTCCATGTACCGCTCCAGTAAATACCTGACTCCACATGCTGTTTATCGCTACTTCCATGGAAAATGCACGGACGAACCACATTCCTGCATTCCATCAAGTCTAACCTTCACGGCTAGGAGCTGCTATGCTACTTACATAGTATCAAACCACCCGCATTATCCCCGTATTCTATCGGTGAGAAGTAAGTTCCACTCAAACAACTTCTTCCCGGGAGCCACTGCTCTGTGGAACAGACTCCCAAGAGGATGTTTCCCTGAACACTACAATCTTCATCTGTCTAGAGTTAACCATTATCTACCCCTCCTATCCATATAAACGACCCCTTAACTTAACACTCTACATCGAATGCCTCAGGGGCTTGTACAGGGTGAACCGTAGTGTGAAAAAATAAAAAAAATGCATTGGTATTTAACCCATAGCTGGGAGAGAAGAGACGAATTCATACCTAGCCACAAACTTGCCGCACATACCATTGTACCAGTGTAAAAAATACACCCTCCTCTTGAAAAAAAAAAGGTTTAGAGAGATAAAGCTACCGTCGTATTTTAAAAGAATTTTATTAAACATTCTACTCGTTTCCTTAAAAATTAGTATATATTGTTCTAAACATAAAAGACCTGGCCCCGACCTAACGCCAGATACGATGAACGGATGTCCCCTCGAGGAGACACCGTACCTCAAACTCACTCAAAGTGGAACTCTGCTTTACGATCCATCGCTAAAGATGCAGGTAAAAATGATCGGCTCCCTGTACCGCTCCAGTAAGCACCTGACTCCTCATGCTATCCTTTACCTGATCAGATCAGAGACTGATCAGATCGAAAATGGATTAATTTTGTCATAATTGGGCAGGATCTGCCCAGTCCTCACTTTCGAGTCTTGATAAATCTCAAATGTGTCTCTGAATCCTCTTTGAAGTAAAATTATTTTCCACGCTCTAACCTCTCTCTCCCTCTCTCCCCCCTCTCTCTCTATCTCACAGTCGAGATGTGGCATGTCTCTTACTACTCTATCGCTACTTCCATGGAAAATGCTCAGATGAACCACATTCCTTCGTTTAAAAAAGTCTTAGCTGCTATGGCACTTACATATTATCAAACCAGCCACATTCTCCCCGTATTTCATCGATAAGAAGTAAGTTCCACTCAAATAGCTTCTCGCGTGCCGATGCTCTGTGGAACAAACTCCAAAGAAGATGTTTTCCTGATCACTTCAATCTTAACCTGTTCAAGTCTAGAGATGACCGTTATCTTCCCCTCTTATGCATATAAACTGCCCCTTAAAGAAACCCTCTACCTTGAATGACCCCGGGCCGTGTACAGGGTAAAGCTTACTGTAAAAAGAAAAAAAAAAAAAACACACTAGAACGAAAGAATTTTCAGAAGAAAAATATTTTTTCTCTTAGTATGATAAATTATCGAAGCGGATTTTGTAAACAGAAAATATTTATGTTTCAAATCGGTTGCTATGCTTTACAATGTACAGAGATTTTAATTTTAATTCAAGTTCTGATTTTTGTAAAAACAAAATCACGTCTAAATTACTCGACTTCTATATGAATATCAGTTTATTGGTTTATGGTTCGTTTTGTTTTACGGCATATCAACACCTCAATGGGTTATTTAATGCTGACAAGATTTTTTAGGATAGGCTCGTATGAATAGAATATGGTTATTATGCATATTTCTCGGTCAGAAAGCGGAAATAATTAGAGAACAAAAGGGCTTACAATCAAGTAGATGTTGTGCTTCGATCCAAGATAGAGAAATGTAAAGTTCAACGGAAATGCAAAAAAATAGAATAGTGATATAGATTTTTACTTGCTTTTTTAAAGTGTGTATATTAATTTATCTTAAGAACAGATTTGAGTTTGAAGTTAGATAAGAAATAGGCGAAAAGTAGTAATTAATATGGAGTTAGAAGTACGAACAAGTTTTCTGTTCTATCTTCAGATGAGTGTGGTTGTCATTTTTTTAATTGTATTAATTCCCTGAATATGTCTCCAGGCATTTTCCCCTGATTTATGGCTTTTTGAGGATTTGCCAGACAAAAATCTGATTGAGAGTCAATAAATAGGCCGGTTTCTGAAGAAAATTATCATTTTTTTTCGCTTATTATATAATTGTTGGAATGGTTATTAATATAGCTCTGGTTATAATATTACACAAAACAAGAAGAGGTATAAAATTCCTAATGATCTCAAAAAAACTGAATGACGTTGCTTTTCCGCTCAGTCAAATCTCTCTGAAATTTCTAGGATTAAGCTCACTCCGGAAATACTTTTGAATGAAAAATATTTGCCGAAAGACAATATGGCCGTGCTTTAAGAAGATTGACAGCACGAAACAAAATATTATAAAAATTATTGTAATAATAATTAGATCAGTTTTTTTTCGTATATGGATCGTGCCTAATAAAGTATGAATAAAATAAATAAAAAAAATTAAAAGTCCCTTTAAAAATTAGGGTTGCATCTCCACCAAATTGCCAGGTA